GATTTTTATGCTATACAAACTTTCAATTTAATAAGCATCATTAAATTCTATAGCCCTTGTTTTACAATAAGCTTATATCAAATATGAAATTGGTTGAGTGGATGTCAGAGCAGCCTTCTCTATTCACTATTTTTGATATTTGAGGTAATACATGCAAGTGTCATTACTTCATATATCAAAAACGGTGTTCTAAACTATTTTTTTTTAAAATGAAGGCTTTACTGGTGTTTTGAAAAATATTTAGTATTTATGCCTGAGGTTTGTGACTTGTTTCCTATAACATGCTTTCATGGCTACTATACAGTAATTTTTGCTAAAGAATTGGGCAGATCAGATGCTTTAATCCTCTGGAAAGTGCTGGGAGCCACATGAAGTGTTCAAATAACATTTCCCTTGGAATACTTGCAGGATGTTAAATTGTCCCAAAGGTGCTTTTTCAGGAGGCAACTGGACTTTCTTGTTTTTTCTTTTGAAGACATTTTGCTTCTCATCCACAAAGCTTCTTTAATTCTGACAGGATAGTGGGGAATGGAATGTCAGAGCTGAAAAAGCTTCTTGAATGAGAAGCGAAACATCTTCAAAAGAAAAAAAGGAAATCCTATACCATTTCAGACAAATGGTTTTCCAATCTCTTCTTAATAACTTCCAGTGTTGGAGCAGTCATAACTTCTGGAGGCAAGATCTTCCACTGATTAATTGTACTGACTGTCAGGAAATTCCTCCTCAGTTCTAAGTTGCTTCTCTCCTTGATTAGTTTCCACCCATTGCTTCTTGTTCTGCCCTCAGGTGCTTTGGAGAATAGTTTGACTCCCTCTTCTTTGTGGCAACCCCTGAGATATTGGAACACTGCTATCATGTCTCCCCTAGTCCTTCTTTTCATTAAACTATACATACCTAGTTCCTGCAACCATTAATATTAATATAAGCAATGGCTTAATAGGCTATGGATATTGCGTTATTGAGGATCTTGCTTCATTATGAGGCCTTTCTGCCTATTGCAGAAAAAAAGAGGCAACAGGAGTGGCAGCAGTGGAGGAGGGAGAGAGTTGTGCCTAATCACAACTCCAGTACAATGTACTGTGGTAGCCATTTGGAATTTCTGAGCATATTGATTATGTGACTTTGGTTATGTTGTCCAATGCAATTGCCTTACTGATTCTGTTCCATATAGGGTATCAAACTGACTGCATCAAAGAGTGAAAAAGCCCTCATCTTCTTTGGGACAGCAGCTACGTATTATTGACTGGCTGAGGGCAGAAAGCCAACAAATACAGGAATTTCATGACTTTACTCTGATCTGAAAAGGTGCTTCAGAGTATGAAGAGGAAATGTAAAGCACCTTTTTGGAATCAGATCTAAAGCACCCCACAGTTGTAATCATTGCTTACCTTGGTTAGATTTGCTTCTTTATATAAAATGGCAATGTAGGTAATTCCACCCTTTCCCTGATATGTCAGGACATATGCCCACAAAAGCAAAATAAATATTATCTGGATTGATGTTTTCTCTATATCTGAGAGTCATCGCTCTAAAACTAACAACCAAATGAAAATTAAATAAACTCTGATAACATTTCACTTGAAGAAGAACTGGTGATATCTGCAGTGGATTTGTAAGGATGTCCACCTCTGTCAGACTACTGGGGAAGTGACAATAAGCAGAGAAAAGTGTATGAAGGACTCCAGAAGCAACATCTTGTTTTTATTCAGTTCTCTTTTGAGTCATTAACAGTCAGGCGCCAGTAGTGCTGAAACTTATCATTATTACAGCCACAAATGGGCTTTCATTCCTAAAGGAAGACCTTATCCTTTAGCTGGCCTTAGAAGAGGGAGGGGAACTGCCATAAAAGCAAAAAATAAATTTGGGGGGGGGGGGAATCCAGAGTGAAATATAAAATGAAATTATTAAACCTTGATCTAACATAGCAAGCATAACTAAGTAGCCCATTTCATGGCAAAAGAAAACAGCTAGATAACAGTATCCAGCAACTCTAATTATATTTAAGGACCAGAACAAGAAAAGTTAGGCACTGTTTCTCTGTTTTTCTGGCTTCTAGTACTCTCCCCTAAAATGTTTCCTGTATCAAATGTTAGACTGGACAGTGTTTGAGGCAAAATCATTTCTCTTCACATGCATCATATTTTCTGGGGTGGAAAATACACATTCTTCTATACCTCACTGAATTATAGCTTCATGCAGACCTACTTTGCTCAATCAATATTGAGGTATCAATATTCCAGCAATATCTGGAAGGAAGTCATCTAACCGAGAATTGTTCTTTTCTTTCACCTTAGTGGGCCTGATGCCTTTCAGAAGAAAAAGCCCTATTCATCCTCCGTATATATTTTTCTCCTCAGGGACAGAATGGAAGCAAGGTTTCCTACTCTTTTTGTTCCTGTGGAAAAAGGAATGGCTTTGTCATGTGCAGCAGGGAGGGAAATTATTTCCAATCTCTTGCTGCACAAGGAAAAGAATTGCCTCTACCTGCTCCAGCACTGAGAGATGAAGTCTTGCTGAGCTGTCTTAACAACAGGGAGAATTTAAATCCAAATTAATTCAATTAATAATCCAAATTAAACTCTAAATTAATTCAACTGCTTCATACAAGTGATTAAACTATAAACACGGCAACCACATTCTCGTTTACATAAAAGTACACTATAAAGTAGATAAGTAACAAGGCTCAAAAACGGCACAAGTCTATATCTGGCGCTCTTCAGTCAGAACACATTGAGATTAGGGATGTTCCAAAAATGATGTTCAATAATTTTCCAGGAGAAGCTAGGATTGGAGGAATTCAAACCTTTTCTATTTTCTCAGACATTTCCTTGGAACAAAAGAAAAAGGTTAGGACACATAGAGCCATGGAACTAGGATTATCTAGCTTCCAATAAAAGCAATGAGATGAAAGAGGTAAAATGGAAAGACAAACCATTAAAATGATTTTCTATTTTATATTCTGCTTGTGCAAAATAACAAAACTTACAATAAATCAACTAACTAACTAACTAAC